GTGATATTGGTCAAACCTAGGCATGGTTAGTTAGTGTGATAAGTGTCATGTGAATGTGATAAGTGTCACTGCTAGCCCCGTTGATTGTGATAAATGTCGCCACTAGTCACGGTGAGTGTAATAAGTGTCACCCCTAGTAACGTTGAGTGTGATATGGGTCAAACTTAGTCATGGTTAGTAAGTAGTCACGGTGAGTGTTATAAGTGTCACCCCTAGTCATTGTGAGTGTGATAAGTGTCAACCCTAGTCATGGCTAGTTAGTGTGATAAGTGATACCCCTAGTCACGGTGACACTTATCACACATACTAACCATGACTAAGGTTGACCCATATCACACACACTGTGACGAGGGGTGACACTTATACACTCACCGTGACTAGTGGCGACATTTATCACAATCAGGTGATTCTTATCTCACTCATCATAATTAGGGGTGACAATTATCACACTAACTAACCATGACAAGGGTTGACCCATATCAAGCTCGCCGTGATTAGGGGTGACCCTTATCACATTCACCATGACTAGGGGCGACACATATCACACCCAACATGACTAAAGGGTGACAATTATCACACTAACTAACCATGACAAGGGTTGACCCATATCAAACTCACCGTGACTAGGGGTGAAACTTATCACACTAACTACTGTGACAAGGGGTGATATATCAAACTAACCGTGACTAGGGGTGATATTGGTCAAACCTAGTCATGGTTAGTAGTCATGGTGAATGTGATAAGTGTCACCCCTAGTCACGGTGAGTGTTATAAGTGTCACCCCTCGTAATGGTGAATGTGATTATTGTCACCCCTAGTCGTGGTTAGTTAATGTGATAAGTGTCGCCACTTGTCATGATGTGTGTGATAAGTCACCCCTAGTCATGGTGAGTGTGATAAGTGTCACCCCTTATCACTGTGAATGTGATATTGGTCAACCCTAGTCCTGGTTAGTGAGTGTGATAAGTGTCCCCCCTAGTAATGGTGAGTGTGATATGTGTAAACCCTAGTCCTGGTTAGTTAGTGTGATAAGTGTCACCCCTAGTCACAGTGATTTCGATATGGGTCAACCCTAGTCACGATGAGTGTGATAACTGTCACCCCTAGCAATGGTTAGTGTTATAAATCACCCCTAGTCATTATGAGTGCGATAAGTGTCACCCCTACTCATGGTAAGTTAGTGTGATAAGTGTCACCCCTTATCATGGTGAGTATGATAAATCACCCCTAGTCATGGTGAGTGTGATAAGTGTCACCCCTTGTCACAGTGAGTGTGATATGGGTCAACCCTAGTCATGGTTAGTTAGTGTGATAAGTGTCACTCCTAGTCACAGTGATTTTGATATGGGTCAACTCTAGTCACGGTGAGTGTGATAACTGTCACCCCTAGCCATGGTTAGTGTGATACATCACCCCTTGTCATGGTGAGTGTGAAAAGTTTCACCCCTAGTCACGGTGAGTGTGATAAGTGTCACCACTAGTTATGATCAGTGAGATAAGTGTCACCCCTAGTCACGGTTAGTGAGATGAGTGTCAACACTTATCACGGTGTGTGTAATAAGTGTCACCCCTAGTCATGGTTAGTGTGATAAATGTTACCCTGAGTCAGGTTGAGTGTAATATGTGTACCCTTAGTCCTGGTTAGTTAAAGTGATAAGTATCACTACTAGTCACGATGAGTGTGATAAATGTCACCCCTAGTCACGATGAGTGTGATAAATGCCATCCCTAATCACGGTGATTGTGTAAAGTGTCACCCCTAGTCATGGTGAGTGTGATAAGTGTCACCCCTTGTCACAGTGAGTGAGATAAGTTACTCACCTAATAATGGTGATTTTGATAAATATCACTCTAGTCACGGTAAATGTGATAGGTGTCACCACTAGTCATTGTGAATGTGATACGTGTCACTCCTATTCATTGTGAGTGTGATAGGTGTCACACATAGTCACGATGAGTGTCATATGTGTTCCCCCTAGTCATGGTTAGTTAGTGTGATAAGTGTCACCCCTAGTCACGGTGAGTTTGATATGGGTCAACCCTAGTCATGGTTAGTTAGTGTGATAAGTGTCACCCCTAGTCATGGTGAGTGTGATAAGTGTCACTGCTAGTCACGTTGATTGTGATTAATGTCACCCCTAGTCACAGTGAGTTTGATATGGGTCAACCCTAGTCATGGTTAGTTAGCGTGATAAGTGTCACCCCTAATTATGATGAGTGAGATATGAATCACCCCTAGTCACGGTTAGTTTGATAAATCACCCCTCGTCATGGTGAGTGTGATAAGTGTCACCCCTTCTCATGGTTAGCTAGTGTGAGGTGAGTGTGATATGGGTCAACCCTAGTCATGGTTAGTTAGCGTGATAAGTGTCACCCCTAATTATGATGAGTGAGATATGAATCACCCCGAGTCACGGTTAGTTTGATAAATCACCCCTCGTCATGGTGAGTGGGATAAGTGTCACCCCTTCTCATGGTTAGCTAGTGTGAGGTGAGTGTGATATGGGTCAACCCTAGTCATGGTTAGTTAGTGTGATAAGTGTCACCCCTTGTCACAATGAGTGTGATATGGGTCAACCCTTGTCATGGTTAGTTAGTGTGATAAGTGTCACCCATAGTAACGGTGAGTCTGATATGTGTCACCCCTAGTCATGGTTAGTTAGTGTGATAAGTGTCACCCCTAATAACGGTGAGTGTGATATGGGTCAACTCTAGTCACGGTGAGTGTGACAAGTGTCACTCATTGTCACAGTGAGTGTGATATTGGTCAAACCTAGTCATGGTTAGTAAGTATGATAAGTGTCACCCCTAGTCATAGTGAGTGTGATATGGGTCACCACTAGTCATGGATAGTTAGTGTGATAAATGTCACCCCTAGTCACGATGAGTGTGATATGGGTCAACCCTAGTCATGGTTAGTTAGTGTGATAAGGGTCACCCATAGCCTTGGTTAGTTAGTGTGATAATTGTCACCCCTTGTCATTGTGAGTGTGATAAGTGTCACTGCTAGACACGTTGATTGCGATAAATGTCACCACTAATCACGGTGAGTGTGATATGGGTCAACCCTAGTCATGGTTAGTTAGTGTGATAAGTGTCAACCCTAGTTTTGAAGAGTGTCAACGCTTATCACGGTGTGTGAAATAAGTGTCACCCCTTGTCACGAGGAGTGTAATAAGTGTCACCCCTAATCATGGTGAGTGTGATAAATTTCACCCCTAGTCACGGTGAGTGTGATAAGAGTCATCCCCTCCCCCTAGTCACGGTGAGTGTGATAAGTGTCACCCCTAGTTATGGTGAGTGAGATGAGTGACTTCCCTAATAATGGTGAGTGTGACAAATGTCACTCTAGTCACGATGAATGTGATAGGTGTCATCCCTAGTCATTGTGAGTGTGATAGGTGCCACCCCTAGTCACGGTGAGTGTGATAAGTGTCATCCCTAGTCATGGTGAGTGTGATTAGTGTCACCCCTTGTCACAATGAGTGTGATATGGGTCAACCCTTGTCACAATGAGTGTGATATGGTTCAACCATAGTCATGGTTAGTTAGTGTGATAAGTGTCACCCCTAGTTATGATGAGTGTGATATGGGTCACCCCTAGTCATGGTTAGTTAGTGTGATAAGTGTCACCCCTTGTCACAATGAGTGTGATATGGGTCACCCCTTGTCACAATGAGTGTGATATGGGTCAACCCTAGTCATGGTAAGTTAGTGTGATAAGTGTCACCCATAGTAACGGTGAGTCTGATAAGTGTCACCCCTAGTCATGGTGAGTGGGATAAGTGTCAACCCTAGTAACTTTGAGTGTGATATGGATCAACCTTAGTCATGGTTAGTAAGTGTGATAAGTGTCACCCCTAGTCACTGTGAATGTGATAAGTGTCACTGCTAGTCACGTTGATTGTGATAAATGTCACCACTAGTCACGGTGAGATTGATATGGGTCAACCCTAGTCATGGTTTGTTAGTGTGATAAGTGTCACCCCTAGTAATGATGAGTGATATATGAATCACCCCTAGTCACGGTGAGTGTGATAAGTGTCACCCATAGTCACGGTGAGTGTGATAAGCGTCACCCCTAATTATGATGAGTGAGATATATGTCACCCCTAGTCGAGGTGAGTGTGATAAATGTCACCCCTACATTTGATGAATGAGATATGTGTCACCCCTTGACACGTTGAGAGTGATACATTTCACCCTAATCAAGGTGAGTGTGATAAGTGTCACCCCTAGTTATGATGAGTGAGATATGTGTCACACCTAGTTACGGTTAGTGAGATAAGTGTCAACCCTTATCACGGTGTGTGAAATAAGTATCACCCCTTGTCACGAGGAGTGTAATAAGTGTCACCCCTAATCATGGTGAGTGTGATAAATGTCACCCTTAGTCACGGTGAGTGTGATAAGAGTCCCCCCTCCCCCCCCCCCCCCCCCCCCACACTAATCATGGTGAGTGTGATAAGTGTCACCACTAGTTATGGTGAGTGAGATGAGTGACTCCCCTAATAATGGTGAGTGTGACAAATGTCACTCTTGTCACGGTGAGTGTGATAGGTGTCATCCCTAGTCATTGTGAGTGTGATAGGTGTCACCCCTAGTCACGGTGAGTTTGATAAGTGTCACCCCTAGTCATGGTGAGTGTGATAAATGTCACCCCTAGTCACGATGAGTGTAATAAGTGTCACCCCTAGTTATGGTGAGTGAGATGAGTGACTCCCCTAGTCATGGTGAGTGTGATAAGTGTCATCCCTTGTCATGGTGAGTACGATAAGTGTCACCCCTAGTCACGGTGAATGTGATAAGTGTCACCCCTAGTCATGGTGAGTGTGATAAGTGTCATCCCTTGTCACGTTGAGTGTGATAAGTGTCACCCCTAGCCACGGTGAGTGTGATAAATATCATCCCTAGTCACAGTGAGTTGGATAAATGTCATCCTAGTAACGGTGAGTGAGATTAGTGTCACCCCTAGTTACAGCTATCTTAATCTGTTTTAGCTTGGAGCTTGGGTGACGTCTTTGTAATTGGGATTGGGGTTGCAGGAGGCATTGTGGCTGTTCCTTTTGTAGTATCCGCAGGACTAGGAGTCTTGGGCTTCTCTACCGCCGGGACAGCAGCGGGATCTATTGGAGCCGCCTTTATGTCGTCCTATGGTGGCAGCATCGCCGCGGGCAGCGCCGTCTCAGTGATGCAGTCAGCCGGGGCCGCCGGAGTAGGAGTTGCTATTAAGGCTCTAGGGGGTGTGGCAGGGGGTGCAGCCACGTACGCTGCGAGGAAAAAATACAATGACAACTAAACTTCTGACGCATCAGTCAATCTATTTACATAAAACTTAAATACATGTACTTAGAACTGCTTGTCAATTTGCAGAAAGTGTCTGTTGTAAAGTTTTCTGTGCTAAATTATGTGTATCAAAGTTCGAAAAAAAAATATTCTGCTCAAAATATTTGTTTTATTCATATTTACTGTAAAACCAAACTATTTTCGAGTACTTTCTCTTTCGCTTTGAATCTATCTAGATTGTTCTAGGGACAATATCTGTCGATGTCACCATATCAACCCCACGGAAGTAGGTCATACAGTGGATAAATAAAATTGGATATATCTATTTTGTTGGTTCCATAGCAACCACGAAAATACCAAAAATGTTTTTATTCAACAATCATGTAATTTTATACAGTACCTTGTATCGGTTTCAGGTATTTTTTCTACGAAGTTTTCACTTAAGTTGTAATTTCCACCAAACCTGCACACGATATATCACACTCAGACAGTCTGTTACTAAGCGTAACCTTAGATATAAGCAATTTTATTGGCAATAACAGAATTCGTTATCAAGTATTTTGATCTTATGACTTTATAATACGACGTCACAGTAGATTGTTAAGAGCTATATGACGTCAAATGCAAATCTGCGAGAACGTTCTCATTCTAATAAAGTAAAACGAAATGTAATGGGCTACGATAAAAATCTGAAATTCGTAACAATTGTTTATAGTTATTATCTTATTTTGAAAACTAACCAGTCGGTAACTTCGGCATCTATTGTAAATTTAATTTGAAAATGATAAAAAATACCGTTTCTCGCTGTGGATTCTCTGTAGCAGATCTGCCGATATCACTTTATTACTTTACCTATATGTAAGTGTAGCTGTAAGAATTGATTTGAACAGTTGACAACAAAATATACGAAAAAGAAAAATTAATTCTGCAATTTTTTTCTTGAAAACTGATGAAATATGTGATATTCGTTTTGTAACCATTGTCTTCATCTAGGACAGCCGTTTGTCAAACAATTACTACAAAAATCAAGGAAGCGCCAATTTAAAATAACGTTGATGATACAGAAAGCCTCACTACTTAATAACAATACTGTACTATATGGCCATTTTGCCCAATATTGACTAATCACTGGTACGAAAAGTCATGGACATATGTAGAATACACCGAAAAGGGAAAGGTACCAATACAAACCTTTCAAAACTGATGATTTGTATTGAAGATACCTTATAACGTTACAAACTGTGGACTACAATAGAATGTACACCGAGTACTTCTTCTAAACCATGACAGAGTTATATTTAGCTTCAGAGTTATGGCCAACCTCAGAGACTAGTAACAACAATGTACACCAATGAGCATGATATAAAACATCGACCTTCTCAGCATAAACAACGCAATAACAAGGTTCACCAATGAGTGTAATATAAAACATTTACCTTCTCAGCATAAACAACGCAAAAACAAGGGCACCAATGAGCATGATATAAAACATTGACCTTCTCAGCATAAACAACGCAAAAACAAGGTCACCAATGAGCATGATATAAAACATTGACCTTCTCAGCATAAACAACGCAATAACAAGGTTCACCAATGAGTGTAATATAAAACATTGCCCTTCTCAGCATAAACAACGCAAAAACAAGGGCACCAATGAGTGTAATATAAAACATTGACCTTCTCAGAATAAACAACGCAACAACAAGGTTCACCAATGATCATAATATAAAACATTGACATTCTCAGCATAAACAATGCAACAACAAGGTACACTAATGAGTGTAATATAAAAGATCAACCTTATCAGCATAAACAACGCAACAACAAGATACACCATTGATCATAATATAAAACATTGACCTTCTTAGCATAAACAACGCAACAACAAGATACACCAATGATCATAATATGAAACATCGACCTTCTCAGCATAAACAACGCAACAACAATTTACACCAATGAGCATCATATAAAACATCGACCTTCTCAGCATAAACAACGCAATAACAAGGTTCACCAATGAGTGTAATATAAAACATCGACCTTCACAGCATAAACAAAGCAATAACAAGGTTAACCAATGAGAATAATATAAAACATTGACCTTCTCAGCATAAACAACGCAGCGACAACGTACACCAATGAGCATCATACAAAACATTAACCTTCTTAGCATAAACAACGCAACAACAAGATACACCAATGAGTGTAATATAAAACATAGACCTTCACAGCATAAACAACGCAACAACAAGATACACCAATGAGCATCATATAAAACATTGACCTTCTCAGCATAAACAACGCAGCGACAACGTACACCAATGAGCATGATATAAAACATTGACCTTCTTAGCATAAACAACGCAACAACAAGATACACCAATGAGTGTAATATAAAACATCGACCTTCACAGCATAAACAACGCAATAACAAGGTTAACAAATGAGAATAATATAAAACATTGACATTCTCAGCATAAACAACGCAACAACAACGTACACCAATGAGCATCATACAAAACATTAACCTTCTCAGCATAAACAACGCAACAACAAGATACACCAATGAGTGTAATATAAAACATTGACCTTCTCAGCATAAACAACGCAACAACAAGATACACCAATGAGTGTAATATAAAACATCGACCTTCACAGCATAAACAACGCAATAACAAGGTTCACCAATGAGAATAATATAAAACATCGACCTTCTCAGCATAAACAACGCAACAACAAGGTTCACCAATGATCATAATATAAAACATTGACATTCTCAGCATAAACAACGCAACAACAAGGTACACCAATGAGCATCATACAAAACATCCACCTTCTCAGCATAAACAACGCAACAACAAGATACACCAATGAGCATCATATAAAACATTGACCTTCTCAGCATAAACAACGCAACAACAAGGTTCACCAATGAGCATCATACAAAACATCGACCTTCTCAGTATAAACAACGCAACAACAAGATACACCAATGAGCATGATATAAAACATCAACATTCTCAGCATAAACAACGCAACAACAAGGTTCACAAATGAGCAAAATATAAAACATCGACCTTCTCAGCATAAACAACGCAATAACAAGGTTCACAAATGAGCAAAATATAAAGCATCGACCTTCTCAGCATAAACAACGCAACAACAAGATAAACCAATGATCATAATATAAAACATTGACCTTGTCAGCATAAACAACGCAACAACAAGGTTCACAAATGAGCAAAATATAAAACATCGACCTTTTCAGCATAAACAACGCAATAACAAGGTTCACAAATGAGCAAAATATAAAACATCGACCTTTTCAGCATAAACAACGCAATAACAAGGTTCACGAATGAGCAAAATATAAAACATCGACCTTCTTAGCATAAACAACGCAACAACAAGGTACACCAATGAGCATCATACAAAACATCAACCTTCTCAGCATAAACAACGCAACAACAAGGTTCACCAATGAGCATCATACAAAACATCGCCCTTCTCAGTATAAACAACGCAACAACAAGATACACCAATGAGCATCATATAAAACATTGACCTTCTCAGCATAAACAACGCAAAAACAAGGTCACCAATGAGCATGATATAAAACATTGACCTTCTCAGCATAAACAACGCAAAAACAAGGTCACCAATGAGCATGATATAAAACATTGACCTTCTTAGCATAAACAACGCAACAACAAGGTACACCAATGAGCATCATACAAAACATCGTAATGAGTGTAATATAAAAGATCAACCTTATCAGCATAAACAACGCAACAACAAGGTTCACCAATGATCATAATATAGTGTAATATAAAACATCGACCTTCACAGCATAAACAACGCAATAACAAGGTTCACCAATGAGAATAATATAAAACATCGACCTTCTTAGCATAAACAACGCAACAACAAGGTTCACAAATGAGCATAATATAAACGACCTTCACAGCATAAACAACGCAATAACAAGGTTCACCAATGAGAATAATATAAAACATCGACCTTCTTAGCATAAACAACGCAACAACAAGATACACCAATGATCATAATATGAAACATCGACCTTCTCAGCATAAACAACGCAATAACAAGGTTCACCAATGAGAATAATATAAAACATCGACCTTCTTAGCATAAACAACGCAACAACAAGGTACACCAATGAGCATCATACAAAACATCAACCTTCTCAGCATAAACAACGCAACAACAAGATACACCAATGAGCATCATATAAAACATTGACCTTCTCAGCATAAACAACGCAAAAACTAGGTCACCAATGAGCATGATATAAAACATTGACCTTCTCAGCATAAACAACGCAATAACAAGGTTCACGAATGAGCAAAATATAAAACATCGACCTTCTCAGCATAAACAACGCAACAACGAGGTTCACCAATGAGCATCATACAAAACATCGACCTTCTCAGCACAAACAACGCAACAACAAGGTTCACAAATGAGCATAATATAAACGACCTTCACAGCATAAACAACGCAATAACAAGGTTCACCAATGAGAATGATATAAAACATCGACCTTCTCAGCATAAACAACGCAACAACAAGATAAACCAATGATCATAATATAAAACATTGACCTTCTCAGCATAAACAACGCAACAACAAGGTTCACAAATGAGCATAATATAAAAGATCAACCTTATCAGCATAAACAACGCAACAACAAGGTTCACAAATGAGCAAAATATAAAACATCGACCTTCTCAGCATAAACAACGTAACAACAAGGTTCACAAATGATCATAATATAAAACATTGACCTTATCAGCATAAACAACGCAACAACAAGGTACACCAATGAGTGTAATATAAAAGATCAACCTTATCAGCATAAACAACGCAACAACAAGATACACCATTGATCATAATATAAAACATTGACCCTCTTAGCATAAACAACGCAACAACAAGATACACCAATGATCATAATATAAAACATCAACATTCTCAGCATAAACAGCGCAACAACAAGATACACCAATGAGCATAACATAAAACATCGACCTTCCCAGCATAAACAACGCAACAACAAGATACACCAATGAGCATAATATAAAACAGTGACCTTCTCAGCATAAACAATGCAACAACAATATACACCAATGAGCATAATATAAAACATCGACCATCTCAGCATAAATAACGCAACGACAAGGTTCACCATTGAGCATAATATAAAACAGTGACCTTCTCAGCATAAACAACGCAACAACAATATACACCAATGAGCATAATATAAAACATCGACCTTCTCAGCATAAATAACGCAACAACAAGGTTCACCATTGAGCATAATATAAAACATTGACCTTCTTAGCATCAATAACGCAACAACAAGGTTCACCAATGAGCATAATATAAAACATCGACCTTCTCAGCATAAATAACGCAACAACAAGATACACCAATGATCATGATATAAAACATCTACCTTCTTAGCATAAACAACGCAACAACAATATACACCAATGAGTGTAATATAAAACATTGACCTTCTCAGCATAAACAACGCAACAACAATATACACCAATGAGTGTAATATAAAACATAGACCTTCTCAGCATAAACAACGCAACAACAAGATACACCAATGAGCATAATATAAAACATCGACCTTCTCAACATAAACAATGCAACAACAAGG